GTTCTGTTCAACACCTTAATTAATGACTTACAGAAAGGGTTAGAAGGTATGATGAATGAAAGGCAAAGATACAGAATGGGGGACTCATGGCTCGAGAGCAGTATGTGTGAAAAAGATCTTGGAGTCTTTGTGGACAACAAGTTAAACATGAGCCAACAATGTGATGCGACGGCAAAAAAAAACCAATGGGATTTTAGCCTGCATCAATAGGAGTATAATGTCTAGATCCAGGGATGTCATGCTTCCCTTCTATTCTGTCTTGGTTAGACCACACCTGGAATACCGTGTCCAATTCTGGGCACCACAACTGAAGAGAGATATTATCAAGCTGGAATGTGTCCAGAGGAGGGCAACTAAAATGATCAAGAGCCTGGGGACAAAGCCCTATGAGGAGCGGCTTAAAATGCTGGGCATGTTTAGTCTCCAGTAGAGAGGGCTGAGGGGAGACATGATAGCCATGTATAAGTATGTGAGAGATAGCCATAAGGAGGAGGGAGCAAGCTTGTTTTCTGCTGCCCTAGAGATTAGGACACGGAACAATGGCTTCAAACTACAAGAAAGGAGATTCCATCTGAACATTAGGAAGAACTTCCTGACTGTGAGAGCTGATCAGCAGTGGAACTCTCTGCCCCGGAGTGTAGTGGAGGCTCCTTCTTTGGAGGCTTTTAAACAGAGGCTGGATGGCCATCTGTCAGGGGTGCTTTGAATACAATTTTCCTGCTTCTTGGCAGGGGGTTGGACTGGATGGCCCACGAGGTCTCTTCCAACTCTACGATTCTATGATCACCAAGTTTGCAGACAGGACCAAATGGGGAGGGAGAGCCAATACCCCAGAAGACAGGAGCAGAACTCAAAATGATCTTCACAGATGAGAGAGATGGACCAAAACCATCAAAATTAAGTTCAATAGGGACAAATGCAAGAGACTCCACTTTGGCAGAAAAAAGGAAATGCAAAGATACAGAATCGGGGACAATTCCTGGCTCGACAGCAGTATGTGTAAAAAAGATCTTAGAGTCCTCATGGGGAGGAAGGTGAACATGAACCAAAAATGTCATGCGGCAGCTAAAATAGCCAATGGGATTTTGGCCTGCATCAATAGGAGCCTGGTACCCATGCTACCCCTCTAGTCTATCTTGGTCGGACCACTTTACCTGGAATCGCAATGTGTCCTATTCTGGGCACCACAATTGAAGGGAGAGGTTGACAAGATTGAATATGTCTAGAGAAGGGCAACTAAAAGGATCAAGGGTCTGGAGAACAAGCCCTATGAGGAGCAGTTTAAAGAGCTGGGTATGTTTAGCATGCAGAAGAGAAGGTTAAGAGGAGACATGATGAAAGCCATGTACAAATATGTGAGGGGAAGTCATAGGGAGGAGGGAGCAAGCTTGTATTCTGCTGCCCTGGAGACTAGGATGTGGAACAATGGCTTCAAACTCCAGGAAAGAAGATGCCACCTGATCATTAGGAAGAACTTCCTCACTGTGAGAGCTGTTCAGCAGTGGAACTCTCTGCTCTGGAATGTGATGGAGACTCCTTCTTTGGAGGCTTTTAAACAGAGGTTGGATGGCCAATTAATATAAATCACATATAATGTTTATATGTGATTTATATTAATTGTATTGCTGTTGTTATTTTTATTTGTTTTGTTTTTGTTGTTGTTTTTTTTGTTTATTGCTTTCTTGTTTATTGATGTGTTGTTGGGCTTGGCCTCATGTAAGCCGCTCCGAGTCCTTTGGGGAGATGGTGGCGGGGTATAAATAAAGTTTTATATTATTATTATTATTATTATTATTATTATTATTATTATTATTATGGCCGTCTGTTCGAGTTGCTTTGAACGCGATTTCCCTACTTCTTGGCAGAATGGGGTTGGACTGGATGGCCCACGAGGTCTCTTCCAATTCTATGGTTCTAAGAACTTTATTTCAGCTTTGCCATCAAAGTCCCTTCACAGATGGAAGACTGTATATCCTTTGAATCAGAGTTGGCCCTGAGTAAAGAGACATATACTTTAGGTACGGTATATATTCCTTTGACATCAGGGCTCTGGATTAGAGGTCCCATGATGCTTTCGCCACTCCCTGGTCCTATGACCTACTCCTCCAGCATCGCAAAGTATGTCACTTTCTCTACAGAAGCGCTTTGATCACATTGCCCGGCGGTAAACACAGGGCCTTTGCTAATACTCCCGGCTTTCTCTGTCCTCTCTTCTGATGTCCCTGGTTTATGGTGAATAGCGACCCAAATATGCAACTCTGTCTTTATTGCCTTGGGTTGGGTCAATCCCTCGGCAGAGCAGAAGTTTCTGTTTGCTCAAAGCCCTGCTTGGTTCCAAAGGAGGCTCAGGGAAGCCGCTCGAAAGGGCCTTCAAAGCCATTTTGTGCCCCAGCAATTCAGAGATGGGGGCTTCGGCACCACCTTCCCTTCGGGATCTCTCTTACCACATTGTTCCACAAAGGCCTTTTTGGTTGCCCCACTAAAGCCAAAAACATGGCTTGATACATACATACATATGTGGATGTATTCATTCTGTTTCACTGGCCTATTCTGGTGCAGTTCTGCCAGTGTACTGTACCATCAGAATGCTTTTTTTCCTTGTCAGGACCAACTTGAGAAACTGCAAGTTGTTTCTGGTGTGAGAGAATTGGTCATCTGCAAGGACATCACCCAGATGTTTGATGTTTTACCATCCTGTGGGAGGCTTCTCTCATGTCCCCGCATGGAGAGCTGGAGCTGACAGAGGGAGCTTACCTTGCTCCCTGGATTTGAACCGCCAACCTGTCAGTCAGCAGCCCTGCTGGCACAAGGGTTTAATACATTGTGCCACTGGGAGCTCCTTAGCTATCGGCCAATATTGAAAAGAGGCAGCTCCCAAGATTCTGGTATCTTAAAGGCAAAGGCACCTCTTGCAACTTTTCCCTTCCTCCAGTTTTCCTTGGGGAGAACAAGGACGAGTCCAAAGGAAGCGTCACGTAGCCTAAAACCCCTAAGATGTAATACCTTAAAAAGCCAACTATGGAAGAACTAGAGGTCCTCAAGAGTAACTTACTTACTTAGATGATCCCTCGTTGGCCGAGTAGGATAGTCTTCCAGGATCAGTGTTCTGGTGGGTCCGTAGGTGACTGTGGAGCCCTATTCTTGATCTGCATCGTCTCCCACAGTGAGGGCATTGGTTTCCAGGTGAAAGGCAGTCTCATTCGGGTTTGGCTTGACACACCTTCCTCTTGGCACGTTTCTCTCTTTCGCCCTCCATTCGTGCCTCTTCAAATTCTACAGCACTGCTGGTCACAGCTGACCTCCAACTGGAGCACTCAAGGGCCAGGGCTTCCCAGTTCTCAGTGTCTATGCCAGAGTTTTTAAGGCTGGCTTTTAGCCCATCTTTAAATCTCTTTTCCTGCCCACAAACATTCCGTTTTCCATTCTTTGAAGTCAAGAGCAACTGCTTTGGAAGAGGGTGGTTGGGCATCCGGACAACGTGGCTGGGCCAGCAGAGCTAATGGCGGAGGACCATTGCTTCAATGCTGGTGGTCTTTGCTTCTTCCAGCACGCTGACGTTTGTCCACTTGTCTTTCCAAGAGATTTGCAGGATTTTCCAGAGGCAACGCTGAGGAATCGTTCTAGGAGTTGCATGTGACGTCTGTAGACAGTCCATGTTTCGCAGGTGTAAAGCAGGGTTGGGAGGACAATAGCTTTATAAACAAGCACCTTGGTATCCCTACGGATGTCCCGGTCCTCAAACACTCTCTGCTTTATTCGGAAAAATGCTGCACTTGCAGATCTCAGGCGGTGTTGTATTTCGGTGTCAATGTTGACTTTGGTGGAGAGGTGACTGCCAAGGTAGCGGAAATGGTCAACATTTTCTAATGTTACACCATTAAGCTGTATCTCTGGCATTGGAAACTATGGAGGAACTAGAAGAGGTCCTCAAGAGTAAAGATAGATTATTAATGCCAAATTCAGATGCTTCCATGGCTGTGAAAGCTGGACAGGGAAGAAAGCAGAGAGGAAGAAAGTCATGTTCTGTGGACACAATGGACAGCCAAATAATGTATTGTCAAAGGCTTTCATGGCCGGAATCACTGGCTTGTTGTGAGTTTTCCGGACTGTCTGGCTATGCTCCAGAAGCATTCTCTCCTGATGATTGGCCTGCATCTATGGCAAGCATCCTCAGAGGTTGTGAGCTGTTGGAAACTAGGCAGTAAGAAGCCAGACCTTGAAACTGCTAGACCATTAAATGCTAATCAAGGTGGCCATTTGCAACAATCACACTTGCCTCAAACAGACGGAAGTTATTTCTCACACCCTTGACATCATTCCACAGATATATAAACTCAATTTTCCTAGTTTACAACACCTCACAACTTCTGAGGATGCCTCCATAGATGCAGGCGAAACGTCAGGAGATAATACTTCTGGAACATGGCCACAACAAGCACAACAAGACAGTCAAAGAAATAGACTAAGAAATGGGTTCTAAAGCAAATTAAGGCTGAATGGTTCTTTGGGGAGAAAATGGCATGACTGAGGCTTTCATAATTTAGACATATCAAGAGATAACATGACCAATTGGAAAAGACCATACTGCTTGGTCCGGTGGTGGATCGTTAATAATAATAATAATAATAATAATAATAATAATAATAATAATAATAATATTTCCCTAAGGCTCAAGATAGGAAAAGATGGTGAAACACTTCTGGGTGTTGTAGGAAGCTACAGTTGAGGACAGAGAGGTCTTGGCATTCTCTCAGGGCACCCTAAACTGAGAAAAGAAAAGGCTCTTGGAGAAGATGTCATTCTGTTTCTATTATTTGCATTGCACTGTTTTTAAAAACTGATACGTCTTTTCATGCTTGATCTTTTTCATGTTGTTGGTAGTTTTGTGCCTTTAACCGCCTTGTGTCTCTGTTTTGAGGGAAAGGCAAGACCTAAATAAAGTTAACCGTCATCGTAATCACCACTGGACATGACATCCTTGTTTCTCTTTTTCTTCCTAGGATCCAAACAAATCTCCCTCCAACGACTCAAGGTAAAGTTTTATCTTGATATAATAACAATTATAATATCTCTCCTCAAATTAGTATGGTATTCTCTTGATATAATAATGATTAAGATGTTGATATTTATTTATTTATCATGTCAGAAGCGAGTTGAGGGTTAAAATGTATTTAAAACACTAAGTAAGTTAAAAACTTGGCATTATGCTAAATTTCCTTTGACCAAAATCTGGCCACTTGGAGCGCCTCTGGTGTCACTGTGAGAAAGTCCTCCATTGTGCATCTGGCAGGGCTGAGGTTGCATTGTAGTAAGTGGTCTGTAGTTTGCTCTTCTCCACACTCGCATGTCGTGGACTCTACTTTGTAACCCCATTTCTGAAGGTTAGCTCTGCATCTTGTGGTGCCAGTGCACAGCCTGTTCAGCACCTTCCAAGTCACCCAGTCTTCTGTGTTCCCAGGAGGGAGTTTCTCATTTGGCCTCAGTCACTGATTGAGGTTCCGGGGTTTAGCCTGCCACATTTGGATTCTCGCTTGCTGAGGTGTTCTTTGAGTATATCAGCATAATGCTGATGAAGCTCCAAATAAAATAAAATACCCCTCGAATAAGTCAAGGTAAAGTATTATTTTGATATAATACTTTACCTTGACTTCTCTGGCCAGAGCGAAGACAGAGAGGAGCAGAAGACACTTCCATCTTGTCTTTACTAATAATATAATATAGTATATTGTATGTACATATAATATTTATAATATTATAATGTAATACAATATAATACTAGTAATAATAAAACAATATTATAATTATAATTATATATTTACATTACAGGTAATATTACTAATAATATTACAATATAATGGTATAGTGCAATATAGTAATATATAATACTGACTTTGTACTATGCTAATAATATACTATATAGTATGAAAATATATATTGCAAGCTGCTCTGAGTCCCCTTTGGGGTGAGAAGGGTGGCATATAAATGCCGTAAATAAATAAATAAATAAATAAATCATCTCTCAAACAAATCAAGGTATTCTCTTGATATGATGATGATGATGATGATGTTCCAAACAAATCTTCCTTGAACAAGTCAAGGTAAAGTATTATTTTGATAACAACAACAACAACAACAACATCCAAACAAATCCCTCTCAAATGAGCCAAGGTAAAGTATGCTCTGGCTGTAATGAAAACAATAACTGTCACATTAATGCCAAGTAATGCTCCCTTTTTAAAAATTAGAAAAGTGTCCCAATTCCCCAACTTCTCTCCTATTATCTGTGCTGAGTTTCCCTGCAGTCCTTTCCCTTTGTATACATACATATGGGAACCCTTGGTGGCGCAGTGGGTTAAACCGTTGAGCTGCTGAAGTTGTTGACCGAAAGGTTGGCAGTTCATATCTGGGGAGCAGGGTGAGCTCCAGCTGTTAGCCCCAGCTTCTGCCAACCTAGCAAAATGTGAGTAGATTAATAGGTAATGGTGCACCATGCATTCATGCTGACCTTGGAGGCATCCATGGACAATGCCGTCTCTTTGACTTAGAAATTGAGATGAACAACATCCTCCAGAGTGAGACACAGCAAGACTTAATGTCAAGGGGAAACCTTTACTTTTGTATACATACATACAAGGTTTACCCTCTTCTTTTCCTTTCTTTTTTTCTTTCTTTGCAGTTTCTGGACGGTGTGGCTGATTCCTATTGTGGGAGCCCTGGTCCTGGGCTTGATGTACCGCTTCTATGTCATGGATACGAAGTCCTGATCCGTCGCAGGAAGCAGAACGTGGGCCCTCGAAGCTTTGGCCGCCTCCATTGTCCATCCATCACCCACCCGCCCCGCCAAGGGACACCTCGAGGGACCTGCCATGACTTTTTGTTGTTGGATACACAGGAAAAAGCATCCGCCTCCATTCCATGGTTTGTAGTCGTTGACTGTGAGTCACTTCTCAGCCAGTCTTCCCCCTCTTTGTGCACAGTCCTAACCCGTCCAAGCACGGAAGGGTTAGGGGGACAGGGCCCCATTGAAGTGGGGAAACTACAAATGAGAAAAGGCCCTATTGTTTTGTAATTTCTAAGTCATGTAGTGTAAGGAGGTTTATACTAGAGGGACTAGAACATCTGTAGAAAGATTTAAAAAGTGTCATGTAATCAAGAACAAGCTCTCTTTTCCATCTTACCAGCTGCCTTTTTTTCCATTTCTGTGGTTTTAACAAATGGTTAAACAGATCTGTATTTTTTCAGCAGTACTTTGGTTGATGTACTACTGGTTGACTGTATGCCTTTTTGATCGGCCAGCTCTGTAATAAAGGATACTCTCAATGACTCTGGTGTTTTCGTGACCCACAAATGCAAACCGTATGCCTTGATACACAGCCTTTAGAGCAGGCATGGGCAAACTTGGGCCCTCCAGGTGTTTTGGACTTCAACTCCCACAATTCCTAACAGCCTCAGGTCCTTTCATGACGCTGTTAGGAAAGGACCTGAGGCTGCTAGGAATTGTGGGAGTTGAAGTCCAAAACACCTGGAGGGCCCAAGTTTGCCCATGCCTGCTTTAGAGTGTCCATTTCTCTGGTCTTTGTGCCTCCTAGCTTACCTTTCCCCTTTGGAGCGACCCCTTATCTCCATTCTGTCATAGAATATAATATTAATAATAATGGAATACAATATAATATTAATATAATAATATCATTAATAATATTGGAGCCCCCGGTGGCGCAGTGGGTTAAACCCCTGTGCCGGCAGGACTGAAGACCAACAGGTCGCAAGTTCAAATCCGGGGAGAGGCGGATGAGCTCCCTCTATCAGCTCCAGCTCCTCATACGGGGACATGAGTGAAGCCTCCTACAAGGATGATAAAAACATCAAATCATCCGGGCATCCCCTGGGCAACGTCCTTGCAGACGGCCAATTCTCTCACACCAGAAGTGACTTGCAGTTTCTCAAGTCACTTCTGACACGACAAAAAAAATAAATAATATTAATAATAATATATTATTTATTTACTTACTTACTTACTTACTTACTTACTTCATTTATACTCCGCTTTTCTCAGCCCTTAGGTGACTCAAAGCGGTTAACAGAAATTTCAATACACACATTACAAAACCATTGGAGCTTTTAAAAACAATAGCATAACAACAATTAAACATCAATATAACAAATCATTCACGTCTTATCAATAGAACCAGAATACAATCTCATCATCCGTTATTCCGTGTTCCTATAATCAATTACACTGCAATATAATATTAATATTAATGTAATACAATATAATAATAATATGATATTATAATTATATATTTTATATTACACATAATCTATATAAATAAAAATGTAATGTTCGTTTGTGGGATTCACAGAACTCAAAACCCAGTGGGCCAACTGACACCAAATTTGGACACAAGACATCTAACAACCTAATGTATGTCCTTCACTCAAAAATTGATTTTGTCATTTGGGAGTTTTAGTTGCTGGGACTTATAGTTCACCTACAATCAAAGAGCATTCTGAACCCCACCAATGATGGAATTGAACCAAACTTGGCACACAGAACTCCCATGACCAACAGAAAATACTGGAAGGGTTTGGTGGGCAGTGTCCTTTGGTTTTGGAGTTGTAGTTTACCTACATCCAGAGATCAATGTGGACTCAAACAATGATGGATCTGGACCAAACTCTACACGAATACTCAGTATGCCCAAATGTGAACACTGGTGGAGTTTGGGGAAAATAGAATCTTGACATTTGGGACTTGTACTTGCTAGGATTTATAGTTCACCTATAATCACAGAACATTCTGAACCCCACCAATGATAGAATTGGGCCAAACCTCCCACACAGAACCCCCATGAAGGCCACAGTAACGTGTGGCAGGGGACGGCTAGTATTACTAATAATATTACAATATAATGGTATAGTACAATATAGTAATATATAATAGTATTGATATTGTACTATGCTAATAATATAATATATTGTATATGTATGTATGTATGTATGTATATATATATATCTTGTAAGCTGCTCTGAGTCCCCTTCGGGGTGAGAAGAGCGGCATATAAATGTCGTAAATAAATAAATAATAAATTCTGATCCAGAGAAAGGTGCTTTTGACTGCAGACACATTGAAGTAGGCCTCAGCGCCAAGACAGAGGAAGCAGATCCCTCTTAAACCCCTAATTGAGAGGTTTGGGCTCCGGTTCCAGCCTCACGCAAAGCAAACCAGCAGCACAAAGAGGGCAGTGTTTCTGAGGCAGGTGAGTCTGCCCCCCCCCCCTTTTTTTTACTCTCCCTATTGGTTCCCAATGTCTCAGAGCATGCTTTGGGCCGGTAGTTCCACTAAAGAGAAATTGTCCCTGGCTCTGAACCTGGTTGCCTATTGGTTCCGAGTTTAAATCTAGGGGTGCATTTACACTATGGGGGGAATGTAGTTTAACCTCGCTTGAACTGCAATGGATCAAGGCTGTGGGATCCTGGGAGATGTAGTTTTCCAAGATCCATAGCCTCCTCTGCGAGCATCTATACTGTGGAATGAATGCAGTTTGACACCACTTTAGCTGCCATAGCTCAATGCTATGGGATCCTGGGAGGGATAGTTTTCCAAGATAAATACACAAATGTCCTGTTGCTATAAACTTCAGCAAAAGTGTCAATTCAATTAATCATGATAATTAACTCAATAATTAATTCAATTAATAATTAACTCAATTAATTAATAAATAATTAACTCATTTAATTTGTATAGTTCACAAGCGTGGGGAACAAATACGCTGGGAATATTTACAATGGTATCACAAACATAATATTCATGTTTTCCAAATAATTAGTCAGATCTTCCAAAAGTTGTGTGGACAAACTTTAACGTATCCAAAACAGTTCCATGTGAGATCCAAGGGTCAGAACCTGCTCTGGGTGCAACCACACTGAGTTTTAAGGCCATTTTAAGTGTATTTTTACCACACTTATATATATATTTTTTACATTTGTATAGCACTTTTTAAACTTAACTATAATAACTACTAAGCGGCTGAGGGGGAAAAGGAAAGGGCCTGAGGCTGTTAGGAATGGTGGGAGTTGAAGTCCAAAACATCTGGAGGACCCAAGTTGGCCCATGCTTGGTGTACATGCATTGTTGCATGATTCTCACCAAGAAAAGCCCAAGAAATCCAGATTCTCCAAAGGAAGAACTGATGAAATAATATTCAGTGCAGAGGCCAAAGCTTTGGCTGAAATAAATGCCCCAAAATGCATCCAGCGGGGAAATTGGCTTTTTGGACAACTCCTTCAAGCCTGTTCTTGTGCCTTTGTTGGATTTAGCTGATAAGGAGGGAGCAAGGTATGCCCAAGGTGCTATCTGCAGATCCATAGTCCAGATCCTGTTACCATGGAAGCTGATCCGTCAGCCAAGGAGGCTCCCGGTTCCGGGAAAACCTTCAGCATTGGAGGGCAGACGCCTTCCTTAAGGCCCTCCAACTTCCATCAGAAAGTGGGGGATATTAATTACTTACTGATATAAAGTGTTGTTGTTATTATTATTATTATTACTACTACTACTACTACTACTAGCCATCCCCTGCCACGCATTGCTGTGGTCCACATGGGGGTTCTGTGTGGGAGGTTTGGCCCAATTCTATCGTTGGTGGGGTTCAGAAGGCTCTTTGACTGGATGGCCCATGAGGTCTCTTCCAATTTTATGATTCTATCTTCAGTTTCTCATGGGACCATGAATCTGCTTTATAGAAGCTACTATCCTATCCAATCGGCTGAACCTTATTCCTCAAACAGGTCAAGAAGCCTTTTAAAGGTCAGACTAAAACCCAAAGTGGATTCACTGCCCCAAAGTGTGAGAACTATGTGCCTCTTCAGGGGTCGAACTGCAGCTCCCAGTAAGCAATTGGGACCTAAGTTCCGCTGCTGGGAGTTTTGACTCAACAACAAGGGATGCAACCTGAAGCCCGTTTACTGCAAAACAAGCCCCGCCGTTGTTCAGGTTTGCAGCATCAGGCCAGCCTGCCTGGGGGGCCCCTGCTTGCTGCTTTGCAATGTAAACAGGATGATGGTTTGATGGATCTGGATCCACCAGTTCGGCTGCAGCCCTGAGGCTGGCGGTTGGCAAAGCCTCCCTCTTGGCTGTCCTTTCCTCTCCTTGCTCTCTTCCTCTCCTCCTCCTCCAATCGATCAGAAAGTCATCAATCTTCTTCTTGTTGTTGTTGTTATCTGCCAATGGCTTTGATTGATGGTGACTCTATGAATGGGAGACCTCTGACCCTCCTTGATGTCAGCAGCTCAGGTCTTGCAAAGCCACTCCTTGAAGGCTGTTGTGAGTTTTACGGGCTGTAAGGCCATGTTCCAGAAGCATTATCTCCTGACGTTTCCCCTACATCTATGGTAGGCATCTTCAGAGGTTATGTCCTTCGTCACAAGTACGTTTGGCAGAGATGAGAGACAGGGCCTTCTCGGTGGTGGCCCCTCAGCTGTGGAACACCCTCCCTATAGATATTAGATTGGCCACCTCCCTTTTAACATCCCGGAAAAAAAGTCAAGACGTGGCGTTTTGAACAAGCGTTTGCAAATGCAGAGTAACTGACATAGGAAAATGGAACGACAATGAATCCGGACAACGTTTTTAACAAGGAGACACTATGGATTTATATTTTATTGATTTGTTTAGTTTTTTTATTATATGTTTTGTTTTTAATTGTATTTATGACATTGTAAGCATTGAATTTTGCCCTGTTAACCATCTTGAGTCGCCTATGGGCTGAGAAAGGTGGTATACAAATACAGCAAATAAATAAATAAATATATTATGAGGACCTCACAACCTCTGAGGATGCCTGCCATAGATGCAGGTGAAATGTCAGGAGAGAATGCTTCTGGAACATGACCATACATCCCAGAAAACTCACAACAACCCAGTGGTCCCAGCCATGAAAGCCTTCGACAATTCACTCCTTTGATTTGATTGAAATGTGGCAGTCCTTTTCCCCACTGAGCTCTCCCCCACAAATCATTGAGTGTCTATATAGAAACCTAAAGGTGGAAGGGACCATCAAGACCATCTGCACCAGTGTTTCTCAACCTTCCTAATGCCGCGACCCCTTAATACAGTTCCTCATATTGTGGTGACCCCCAACCACAACATTGTTTTCATTGCTACTTCATAGCTGTCATTTTGCTGCTGTTATGAATCGTGATTTAAATATCTGATATGAGGATGCATTTTCATTCACTGGACCAAATTTGGCACAAATACCCAATACCCCCAACTTGAAGACTGATGGTGTTGAGGGATTGTCATTTGGGAGTTGTAGTTGCTGGGATCTATAGTTCGCCTACAGTCAAAGAGCATTCTGAACTCTACCAATGATGGGGTTGAACCAAACTTGGCACAAAGAAATCCTACGATGACTAACAGAAAATACTTGAAAGGTTTGGTGGGCATTGACCTTGAGTTTTGGAGTTGTAGTTCACCTACATCCAAAGAGAAATGTGGACTCAAATAATGATGGATCTGGACCAAATTTGGCATGGATACTCAATATGCCCAAATGTGAACACTGGTGAAGTTTGGGGGAAATAGATTTTGACATTTGGGAGTTGTAGTTGCTGGGATTTATAGTTTACCGGCAACCAAAGAGCATTCTAAACCCCACCAATGATAGATCTGGGCCAAACTTGGCATGGATACTCAATATGCCTAAATGTGAACACTGGTGGGGTTTGGGGAAAATAGATCTTGACATTTGGGGGTTGTAGTTGCTGGGATTTATAGTTCACCGGCAATCAAAGAACATTCTGAACCCCACCAATGAGAGATCTGGACCAAACTTGGCATGGATACTCAATATGACCAAATGTGAACACTGGTGGAGGTTGGGGGGGGGGGGGGAGAGATCTTGACATTTGGGAGTTGTAGTTGCTGGGATTTATAGTTCACCGGCAATCAAAGAGCATTCTGAACCCTACCAATGACAGAATTGGGCCAACCTTACCACACAGAACTCCCATGATCAACAGAAGCTACTGTGTTTTCAAGTGGTCTTTGGTGATCCCTCTGACACCTCTCGCAACCTCCATAGGTGTCCCGACCCTCTAGTTGAGAGACACTGCTTTGGAGAATCTGCACTTTTTGGGCTTCTCTTGGAGAGAAGCAAGGATTGTCTCTTGAATCATGCAACAATGCATCTACACCAGGCATGGGCCAACATGGGCCCTCCCTCCAGGTGTTTTGGACTCCAACTCCCACAATTCCTAGCAGCCTCAGGCTCTCTCCTTTTCACCCTCAACCGCTTAAGCAGAAAATGAAAGGGAAAAGGGAAAGGAAGGGGCCTGTGATTGTTAGGAATTGTGGGAGTTGAAGTCCAAAACACTTGAAAAGGGAACCCAAGTTGGCCCATGCCTGATCTACACTCTCGAACGAATGCAGTTCTTCTTTGACGCCCAAGGCTCAATGCTACGGAATGAAGGGAGTTGTAGTTTAGCACTCCTTGGCAGGGAATGGTAGGAGTTGAAGTCCAAAACACCTGGAGAGAGGGCTAAAGTTGGCCTCACTGACTTTTTCTCTCTCGGTCTTGTGAAGGAGGCAAAAACAAGGATGATTATGATCATGCTGGTTCTAATCTATCTCCACTGGGAAGCCAAGCTGCTGCTATTGGGAAGGCAAGCCCTTCTGAGCAACTCTTGCCCACAGGACCCCTTTGGGAAGGGAGGGGCCGGGAAAGGAGGGCCAGGGGTCACAGGAGGGGGGCTTAAGGGGAGGAGGAGGAGAGGGAGGAGGAGGCAAAGGCAGGGCTCCTCCCCCTAAGGCTTCCTCTCCTGGAGCACAAGGCAGAAAGATCCCTGTCACTCGCCAGGCTGGCTGCTCCACAGGGTCCTTCCTGGAGGGGGTCTCCGTGCCCTTTGACCCTCACCATGCGCCCCTCCTGGACCCCTGATGGGACACCGCCTGACTGGAACTGCTGGACCTGGCCCTGGGGACCCCACGACCCCCGCCTGTCAACGCCAGGTAAGGAGGGGAAGGCATAGAATCCAAGGATTCCAGAGTTGGAAGGGACCCCCAAAGGCCATCCAGTCTGACCCCCTTCTGCCAGGCAGGAAGGCACCATCCAAGCCCTCCCAACAGATGGCCATCCAGGCTCTGTTTAACAACTATATGCCCTCCCAACTTTTACATAGAAGGATAGACTCCTAGAGTAGGAAGGGATCTCTAAAGGCCATCCAGTCCAACCCCCTTTTGCCAGGCAGGAAGGCACCATCCAAGCCCTCCCAACAGATGGTCATCCAGGCTCTGTTTAACACCTATATGCCCTCTCTACTTTGACATAGAAGGATAGGCTCCTAAAGTAGGAAGGGATCTCTAAAGGCCATCCAGTCCAATCGCAATCTGCCAGGCTGAAAGACACCATCCAAACCTTCCTGACAGATGGCCATCCAGCCTCTGCTTAATAACATATAAACACTATATGCCCCCCTCCCCATACAGTATTATAAATTTCTAGGGTTGGAAGAGGTCTCTAAAGGTGATCCAGTCAAACCCCCTTAGGCCAGGCAAGAACTATCCAAACCCTCCCAACAGATGGCCATCCAGGCTCTGTTTAACAACTATATGCCTTCCCCATTTTGACATAGAAGGATAGGCTCCTAGAGTAGGAAGGGATCTCTAAAGGCCATCCAGTCCAACCCCCTTTTGCCAGACAGGAAGGCACCATGGAAACCATCCGAACAGATGCCCATTCAGGCTCTGTTTTAACAACTATATGCCCTCCCCACTTTGACACAGAAGGATAGACCTCCAGTAGGAAGGGATCATCCAGTCCAACCACAATCTGCCAGGCAGAAAAACACCATCCAAACCCTTCCAACAAATGGCCATCCAGCCTCTGCTAAACAACATATAAACACTATATGTCTCACCTTGACATAGAATCATAAACTCCTGGAGTAGGAAAGGATCTCTAAAGGCCATCCAGTCCGACCCCCTTCTGCCAGGCAGGAAGGCACCATCCAAGACCTCCCAACAGACAGCCATCCAGCCTCTGTTTAACAACTACATGCCCTCCCCACTTTGACATAGAAGAATAGACTCCTAGAGAAGGAAGGGATCTCTAAAGGTCATCCAATCCAACCGCAATCTGCAAGGCAGGAAGACAACATCCAAACCCTGCCAACAGATAGCCATCCAGTCTCTGCTTAACAACATATAAACATATAGCCCCCGGTGGCGCAGTGGGTTAAACCCCTGTGCCGGCAGGACTAAAGATCGACAGACAGGTTGCAGGTTCAAATCCCGGGAGAGGCGGATGAGCTCCCTCTATCAGCTCCAGCTCCTCATGCGGGGACATGAGAGAAGCCTCCCACAAGGATGATAAAACATCAAAATCATCCGGGCGTCCCCTGGGCAACGTCCTTGCAGACGGCCAATTCTCTCACACCAGAAGCAACTTGCAGTTTCTCAGGTCGCTCATGACATGACAAAAAACAAAACAAAACATATAAACACTGTATGTCTCACCATGACATAGAATCATAAACTCATAGAGTAGTAAAGAATCTCTAAAGACCATTCAGTCCAGGCAAGAAGGCACCATCAAGCCCTCCTGACAGACAGCCATCTGGCCTCTGCTTAAAAACATATACCCCTGACATAGAATCATAAATTCCTAGAGTAGGAAAGGATCTCTAAAGGTCACCTAGTCCAACCCCCTTGTGCTGGGAAAGAAGGCACCATCCAAACTCTCCCGACAGACAGCCATCCAGCCTCTGTTTAATATGCCCCCTCTTTCACGAAGCATCATAAATGCCCAGAGTGGGAAGGGATCTCCAAAGGCCATCCAGTTCAACCACACTCTGCCAGCCAGGAAGGCACCACCCAGCATAATAATAATAATAATAATAATAATAATAATAATAATAATAATAATAATAGATGATCCAATACAACAGCCAGCAGAGTGATCTTGTCTGCTGTGCACTCATTTTGTTGTATAAATAAAATAATAATAGGTAAACCTAATAATAATAACAGGTATGAACCACTTTGCAGCCTTTCCCCATATATACATCTCTTCCTCTCCAGCTCTATATGTTATTATTTTTAGCTGATCCTGTTTGTAAAAATATGCATTAATATATTGTATATATTTCATATACATATATGTATTTTCGGCAATGTAAATAAATGCAAACTCATTTATTTTTTCCAATACATCAGAATAATCATTAAATACAAAAAGTAAAAAGTTGACATGGATTTTCTACCTTAAAGACATATGATGAAGAAATGATTGTCATCCTATTAACTGCTAAAGTAAACAACTTCTTGTTTATACCTTGCTGGATCAATGTTTTACAATGCTATGGTGTAATGGGAGATGTAGTTTGGCAGAGAAGATAAAAGGCCTTGTGAAATTGCAACTCCCAGAATCCCATAGTCGTGGGCCATGGGAGTTAAAGTGGGGTCACACTGGATTGATACTACAGTGTAGATCAGGCATGGGCAAACTTCGGCCCTCCAGGTGTTTTGGACTTCAACTCCCACAATTCCTAACAGCCTACCGGCTGTTAGGAATTGTGGGAGTTAAAGTCCAAAACATCTGGAGGGCCGAAGTTTGCCCATACCTGTTGTAGATGCATCCTGGAATGAAAGAGGATGAATGGGGGCTCCCTGCCAAATTGGGAGGGCATGTCTTCAGGGCCAATAATGCAATGAAACAACACACAAAACACACACATAGGATGTACCATCGTGACCAACGAATGGCCAAAACTGTTGACAGATCCTCATTATTTCCTGACATACATTTTTCCATTTGCTGGTTGGAAAATAATCCCGTGCTTCAGAAACCGTCGAAGGAAGGAAGCACCTGCTCCGTCTGCCCTTCCTACTCTCTTTCATGTTCTTAACTGGTTTTAAAATGGTAATTACTATGCTCTGTTTGGCCCAAAATTTCGCAGCAAAACATGGGCATCCTTTGGGGTCTATTAGGATGATTTTTTGTGCTGTGGTTTAAACCGCTGAACTGCTGAACTTGGTTGCCAGTTCAAATCCGAGGAGCAGGGTGAGCTCCCATTGTTAGGCCCAGCTCCTGCCAACTTAGCAGTTCGAATACGTATATGCAAATGTGAGTTGATCAATAGGTACTGCTCTAGTGGGAAGGTAATGGCGCTCCATGCAGTCATGCCGGCCACATGACCTTGGAGGTGTCTATGGACAACACCGGCTCTTCAGAGATGAGAACCACCCCCAGAGTCGGACACCACTAGACTTAATGTCAAGGGGAAACCTTAGGATGACTTTGGTATTGTTTCTGACTTACAGTGACCCCATCTAAAGGCTTTCTGGGGGTGAGGACAACTCACCTAATGGTTCAGCGGGGATTCGAACTCCAGCCATTCTGCTTATGCTGCCTTTCGATGTGGACAACTGAAAAATAAATAAAAATAAAGCAATGTGTCCCGAAGTCCACTTCTTGTCCTCAAGTTAAACTCTTAAATACTATTTTTTTGCTATCAGAGGTACAGCAATTCAGTGTATTTTGGGGGCCAGAAAAAATATTGGATCTGCATATTTGGAATATTTGGAAAGCCCCTTTGGGTCCCAATCAAGAGATAACAGCAGATAATAATAATAATAATAATAATAATAATAATAATAATAATATCTTGATTATTATTATTTATATTTTTTGTTTACATACATAAATACAGTATAAACAGAACATGAAAGAATGAATATTTTACAAACACATAACCCCACCACCAAGGCCTGAACAAGTATTGATTATGATAATACATATTTGGGAAGCCGCTTTAGGTCTTGCTCAAGTGATAAGAGCAGTATGTTAACATAATACTAATATTAATGATGATGATGATAAATGCTAATAGTAATAATAACAACCTTTATTTGTTGCTGATAGCAATATTGATGGTAATACATATTTGGGAAGCCAATTTGGTTCTTCCCAAGGGATAATAGCAGGATATTAAATTGCTAACAATAGTAATAATGATTAAAACAGCAAGTATTTAGGGCCCTCGGTGGCACAGCAGGTTAAACTGCTGAGCTGCTAAACTTGTTGAGCAAAAGGTCACAGGTTCGAATCCGGAGAGTGGCGTGAGATCCCGTTATTAACCCCAGCTTTGGTCACTCTAACAGTTCGAAAACATGCAGATGTGAGTAGATCAATAGGTACTGCTCTGGCAGGAAGGTAACGGCACTCCATGCATACCACCCCCATTATGCCAGCTCCACTGGCTGCCAGTCCATCTCCGAACCCAATTCAAAGTGCTGGTTTTGACCTATAAAGCTCTATACGGTTTGGGCCCTGCTTACTTGTCCGAACGCATCTGCCCCTACGTCCCACCTCACAATTTAAGACCATCCGGGGAGGCCCTGCTCTCGCTCCCGTCAACAGCGCAAATGGCGGGGACGAGGAGCAGGGCCTTCTCAGTTGTAGCCCTCCACCTATGGAACACACTCCCAAAGGAGGTAAGATCTGCTCACTCGCTCCTGACCTTTAGAAAAAAAAATCATGGTTTTGGGACCAGGCCTTCGGACAATAGATGTATGCAGCTTTTAGTGCAGTGGTTCTCAACCTGGGGGTCAGGACCCCGAGGGGAGTCATGAGAGGTTGTCAGAGGGGTCACCAAAGACCATCAGAAAACACAGTATTTCCGTTGGTCATGGGGGTTCTGCATGGGAAGTTTGGGCCAATTCTATCATTGGTGGAGTTCAGAATGCTCTTTGGTTGTAAGTTAACTATAATTCCCAGCAACTACAACTTCCAAATGTCAATGTCTATTTCTCCCAAACTCCATCAGTTTACACATTTGGGCATATTGAGGATTTGTGCCAAGTATGGTCCAGATCCATTGTTGTTGGAATCCACAGTGCTCTCTGGATGTAGGTGGACTACAACTCCAAAACTCAAGGTCAATGCCCATCAAATCCTTCCAGTATTTTCTGTTAATCATGGGAGTTCTGTGTGCCAAGTTTGGTTCAATTGTATCGTTGGTGAAGTTCAGAATGCTCTTTGATTGTAGGCGAACTATAAATGAAAGCAACTACAACTCCCAAATGACATAATCAATCCCTCACCCAATCCCAGTAGTATTCAAATTTGGGTGTTTTGGGTATTTGTCCCAAATTTGGTCCAGTGAATGAAAATACATCCGGTATATTGGATATTTACATTACAGTTCATAACAGTAACAAAATTACAGTTATGAAGCATCGACGAAAATAATGTTATGGTTGGGGGTCACAACATGAGAAAGTGTATTAAGGGGTTGCGGCATTAGGAAGTGTTGAGAAACACTGTTTTAGTGGGACAAGGACTGGGACGGCGACTTGACTGATGGGAATGTTTTATGGTTTTAATAACTGTTTTGATATTTGATGATGTACTGTTTTAAATAGGATTTATGTTTAAAGTGTGGTTTTAATGTTGTAGTGGTAAGGCATTGAATTTTTGCCATTATATATGTGTAAACCGCTTAGAGTCCCCCTCAGGGTGAGAAAAGCAGTATGTAAATGCTGCAAATAAATAAATAAATAAATAAATGCAGTGATACTAGCCACGTGACCTTGGAGGAGTCATAGAATCATAGAGTTGGAAGAGACCTCATGGGCCATCCAGTCCAACCCCATTCTGTCAAGAAGCATGAATATTGCATTCAAATCACCCCTGACAGATGGCCATCCAGCCTCTGTTTAAAAGCTTCCAAAGAAGGAGCCTCCACCACACTCTGGGGCAGAGAGTTCCACTGCTGAACAGCTCTCACAGTCAGGAAGTTCTTCCTCATGTTCTGGTGGAATCTCCTTTCTTGTAGTTTGAAGCCATTGTTCCGCGTCCTAGTCTCCAGGGCAGCAGAAAACAAGCTTGCTCCCTCCTCCCTGTGACTTCCTCTCACATATTTATACATGGCTATCATATCTCCTCTCAGCCTTCTCTTCTTCAGGCTAAACATGCCCAGCTCCTTAAGCCGCTCCTCATAGGGCTTGTTCTCCAGACCCTTGATAATTTTAGTCGCCCTCCTCTGGACACATTCCAGCTTGTCAATATCTCTCTTGAATTGTGGTGCCCAGAATTGGACACAATATTCCAGGTGTGGTCTAACCAAAGCAGAATAGAGGGTAGCATGACTTCCCTAGATCTAGACACTATGCTCCTATTGATGCAGGCCAAAATCCCATTGGCTTTTTTTGCCGCCACATCACATTGTTGGCTCATGTTTAACTTGCTGTCCACGAGGACTCCAAGATCTTTTTCACACGTACTGCTCTCGAGCCATATAACCCTCACTTATATGGGGTTTATATGGAATCTATGGACAAAGCTGGCTCTTTGGCTTAGAAATGGAGATCAGCAGAGTCGGACACGACTGGACTTAATATCAGGGGAAAACCTTTACCTATTTAGGTCCACAAGGACATTCTTTCTTGCAAGGGAATATTTCCTCCCTCCCGGATCGGTTGGTAATATATTCTGGAAATGATTCAATATTACAGTTTTGTTGCAAGTCTTGCAACTTTTGTTATTCTCCCTAACAGAAAACAAAACAAACCCAGCAACACTGTGTGCTGGATTGAATAACAAAACAAATCACAAACAATCCATACAAGAATGCAGGGAGAGATGCCTCCTTCGCATATCCCAAAGTCTGGAGGAGGGTGAGAATAAATAATGGAGCAATCCGCGTTGTTTCCTTTAGAAAGGAACAGAAAAGGCCAAAATGATGAAAGATAGGGAGAAAACTGATTACACATGCTGGGAATGCTGGGAACCTTTTTTTTTCCAGAAAAAATAAATAATGGCCCATTATTCAGAACTGACAAAAAGGAACATTTCTCCCCCTTAATGGAATGCAGTGGGATGTGGTTGAGATGGCGAAGGAAGTAAGTTTTCACAGGAATTTCTTGGCAAAATCTCTTGACCTCCCTTTGAGGCTGAGAGAATGTGACTTTCCTGAGGTCACTCAATTGGCCAAGCCAGAGTCTGTCGAGTTAACGCATCTACACCAGGAATGGGCAAACTTTGGCCCTCCAGGTGTTTTGGACTTCAACTCCCACACTTCCTAGCCGCCGGTAGGCTGTTAGGAATGGTGGGAGTTGAAGTCCAAAACACCTGGAGGGCCAAAGTTTGCCTATACCTGTTGTAGATGCATCCTGGGATGAAAAGGATTAACGTGTATGACCTGCAACAATAAAAGGACACAGCATATTATTTGAGAACACAGAAATGCTGGATCGCTCTAACAACCTCCATGTCAAGCTACAGAGAAGCCACTGAAATCCACAAGAAGCATGTGGACAATTTCAACAAAAACAAGGAAAAAATGAAAATGAACACAATCTGGCTACCAGTATTACAAAAAACTCTAAAATTGGAACAGTAAATCAAGAGCAAATCTTTAAAAGTAGGGGAATTCCAGACAAGAATCAATCAGGGCCAGCTAACACCTCTCAACAAGGGATTCTCCCAGGCAGGAAGCAGCCAGGCTTTGTAACTGCAGGCCATTAAATGCTAATTAAGGTGGGAAATTGCAACATTCACAAGTACCTCTAGCAGACAAGAGTTCTTTCTCCCACCCTGGACATTCCACAGCTATATAAAACTCACTTAACTTAGTTTCCAACAGACCTCACAAGCGCTGATAATGCCTGCCATAGATGTGGGAGAAACATCAGGAGAGAATGCTTCTGGAACATGACAATACAGCCTGGAAAGCTCACAGAAACCCAGATATTTTAATCTTTGTTCTGTGTATTTTAATCGTGTATTTTATAGAAATATGTTTTATTATGTATTTTATATCATGTTTATGATGATAATGTGTTTTTAGCTATATTTGTAATCCACCTCGAGCCATGAAGAGAGAAATACAATTATTATTATTATTATTATTATTATTATTATTATTATTATTATTATGGTTCCAGTGGAATCAAACTGCATTCATTCTACAGCATAGGGCCCTTCTACACAGCCAGAATATCAAGGTAGATAATCTACAATATCTGCTTTGAACTGGGCTATCTGAGTCCACACTGCCATGTAATTCAGTTCAATGTGTATTTTATACAGCTGTGTGGAAGGGACCCCAGATGCACTTAGAGAAGGCAAAAGACCTCCCAGGATTCCATAGCGTTGTGCCATGGCAATTAAAAGTGGTGTCACACTGCATTCATTCCACAATGTAAATTATGCCCCCTCCTTGACTTCCACTCTTGGGAAATAGGCAGATTATATACATCAATAGAGTAAGAGTTAGTCATGATGATGCAAGTGTGTGTGTGTCACTCTCTCTGTGTGAGTCAGACATGCAAAGTTTGTGGTTTCGCGGTCTTTTCCCGTCTGGATGGAGTCACATGGCAATGACAGCAAAAGGAGTCAAGCCGCACTATGTCTCTACCCACCGGTCCCAAAATAAACCCCAAACACACC